TTTTTTTTTTTTTTTTGGCTTTGGCTTTGCCTTGCCTTTGGCTCCTTCCCTCCCTGTCCGTTATTGAGGTGACTCTCTGAGTCCTCCCCCGGAAACAAACCCACCCCCCCCAACGCCCCCCAACGCCTAGCCCGCGCCCGAAATCTCTTCATCCTCGCCTACTTACCCTTTCCCTCTCTTCCGCTTCCATCCTCTTTTGTTTCTTCACACTTCTTTCAATACTTCTTACACTCCTTCTCCTCCCCATCCGTCCAGATAATAACCCGCCGTTATCATCTCTCTCGCTTGTCGTCATTCTTCTCTCTCGTCCATTGCCGACACCAATTCTCCACTGATACCACCGCAACACCAACACCAACAAAAGACACCCCCGTCACTGCGCCGCGTGTAACAGCCTGCATACACACCACCACTTCGTCGACGCTGCCCGTATAAGCACCCGTCCTACCAGCTCGTCACCTCCCCGCGCAAACCGGCTGACCAGCCCCGGCTCATTCACCTCTTCACACAACTTCTTGTTTTGTCTGTTTGCACTTCGAAACACACGGCCATTCCTGACTTGTGCGGCCACCGGCCCTGCGTCGACGCTCTCCAATGATTCTCTAAATCCTCCTGCTCGCTCGTCTACAACCTTGTACGCGTCGTCTTCTTTCTTCTACACGGCTTCTTTCGCCATGGCCGTCGTCATTTCCTCGGAAGACAATTACTTTTCGTCGTCTTCGCTGCGACGCTCTGCTTCGCACACAAACCTCGACACGTCCGCCTTCACCCACTCGTCACGCAAGGCACCTCCAACATACGATCCCTCTTCCAAGTCTTCTTCGGAATCCGACGCTTCCTCTGCTCCCTCATCACCCACAACAATACCTGCTCAATCAGTACATGTGTCTTACGCCTCTACTCCCGCCACCAATCTCTCAATAGCCTCCGATTTTGACGACGCCCCGCCCCTCGACGATTCACCCGAGGACCACTTTGGCCTGCCCCCCTTCACCCATGAAAAATACTACATGCGTCCTCATCTCGGCTACGACAATGACGAACACGACGGCCCAATAGACCAGTCGACCCCAGCTCACGCCTCCTGCCCCCTCGACTCCTCAGAGAGCACCTCTCGCCCCGACACTCCCGAGCTCACCAAGCATGCCGAGGATGATGCCACCATCGCCAGCCAGCCTTCGAGGCAGGTCGACTATCTCTCCCACGACTGGAGGGAAGAGGACATTTGGACGTCGTGGCGCTACATTGTCACTCGAAGGGGCGAGGTGGCCAACTCGGCCCGCCTCGAGAATGCCTCGTGGCGAACCTGGATGAAGGCCAAACATAATCTCAAAACTATCTCTCCAGAGTCTCTCAACTGGTCAGTACACATTTGCATGACGCCTCACGACCCTCACGCTAATACATCAACAGGTTAAAAGATTGCGACGTAACATGGCTCTACGGCCCTCTGCAGTGCAAGCCTGGCCATTTATATGCCACGCACACGGAGCCCTCCAGCTCTACCCTGTCCAAGACGGACTCTCTCATTAACTTGCAAAAGAAGCCCATTCTCAAGAAGAGAAGCATGTCCGAGGTCATGCTGCAGCGATCTATTCTCTCTGCCTCTCTTCTCAAACAGGCCGCGGCTGCAGTTCACGCTCAGGAGCGTAGAGGCATCCTGACCAACAAGGGCAAGACGGACGACTATGTCGCCGTTCCCCTGTCATCCCGCCACCTCAGCGTCACCAGCAACAGCACTGTCGAATCCATCGAATCGTCAGGTCTATCGTCGCCTTGCAATGAGCGCAAACACATTCATTTTAACGAAAAGGTTGAGCAATGCATCGCCGTGGACATCAAGGGCGATGATGACGACGTGGACATCGAAGTTTTTGACGATCAAGATAGTGATTCCGATGACGGCTTCATGATGAAACGTGTCAAGTCCAAAAAGCGCGGCGTGCCAGTCCGCAAGAGCAAGAGCAAGCGTAACACCAACTGTGAGACGATTGCTACGCTGCCCCCAACGACACTAAAGTACCGTGGGGATACGCCAGAGCCTCCAGAGACGGCCATGAAGCACAGCCGCAGCCCCCTGCTCTCGCCTTCATCCTCGCAAGAGACGCTTCGACCTACAAAGCAGGCTAATCGCTTCTACTTTGGAGAGGAGGACGAGGAAGACAATGAGATTTCGGTCATTGGCTCGGGCTGGCGCTCACCCCCCATGGAGAGCGCGCCCGACGAGTCGACAGGCTTGCACCGCACGTCATCGGGCATGCTGATGCCGTACGAAGCTGTTGAGAACCCCACTGGCGAGGGCATCATTGGCCGTGTCATTGATACCGTCAATACGGCACGCGACATTGCTCACGTTATCTGGAATGTTGGTTGGAGAAAATAACTGCCATTTTCCAACAAACTCTAATCACCTCGTGCGGTTGGCCGTCTGCACGTACACAACTTTTTATATCCTCATCATTTCATTTCCGTCTTGGATACCAACAAAAACAATCTTGGCGAAGCGGCTGGTCTATATCATCTTTACTGGTTCTGTGTTTTTCATTTTGGTGTTTGGTTACGGCAGCATATTGACAGCCACTTGTTTTCATTATCTCTATTCTCTTCACTTCGTTTCCGACCTGGACTTTTCTTGCATATTCGGATGGGAATATTGGAAGACGCGACCAAAACACTCACGCGTCGGCAACATCTGACGTTTTACGATTACGGGACACACAGAACGAAAAAAAAAAACCAAACAAAAAAAAATGGTCTAATGAATGCCACACATTACCCAGAAGAGGAGGACAGGACTTGTCTGGTTGCTAAGCGGTCTGCTGAACATGGGCAAATAGCGGTCACGCGCTTTTTTTTTTCCCTCGGATTGAATCTGGCTGTCATTACTAGTATTACCATTTTTTCTTGCTTTTGTTGAGGTGCGGGGAATTTGGTCTTTAGCCAAGGCGTGGCGTGGCGCCCTTATTTATTCCTTTTTGGCGAATACAACGAGATATAATTGCATCCCACAACGGTTCCCCCAGATGATGACTTGCTATGCGGATTTCATCTGTCAAGGCACCCGTTTCTGTCGTTGATAGAGTGAATGTAAGATGACGGCTTCGTTTATCTTGGGGTCCGACATGTCGCGGTACCTGACGCTAGACGGGGTGAAGGAGGTGTCCTGACGGACCCTTTCTCTTCTCTGGTCACTTAGTGTGTGTGTGTGTGTGTGTGTGTGTGTGTGTATGTTTGTGTGAGTGGTCGCGTGGTACCGATGTACGCCCTGTGGTGGCTTGGTACCTAGGTATTCACCGACAGTCTACAGACGCGGGATGGCGATGCCCCCAACGGGTCCTGCAGTATACTGATCAAAGGGTAGCGTTGTGAGGAGGTGGCGATGAATCATTGCCGAGGCTATTCGGGGCATGAGACGACGTGAAACCGAAGGATTACTGTCTATGATGATGATGGAAATGCAACTTTATAATACATTGCTAATATACAATTTAAACCGTTTTTCCTTTGCTTGCTTCAGCTCCATCTTTGATTGCCCAAAATATATCCCGTTGTAAATGCCCAAAGTGAGTTGTCGTCTAATCTTACACAAAATATGTACAAACAATATCGTACTTCTCCTCTCCACGGCCTGCGAGAGGCCCCTCCCCCGCAGGTACTTTGGCCCATTGGGTTAGGGGACTTTTTTTTTTCATCAAGTGACATGGCATCGACCCCCAGTTTTTTTTTTCTCTCTTGTATGTTCTCTTTTTCTTTTTTCGTTTTAGGCAGCGGAGGAGGGTCGCATGATCTGCTTCGTCATCCAACAATGTCCCCAAAAAAGAGGTCATTCATGCTGCAGTGGCGAATTCTGATTTGCTGCAGAGCTGACCATTGAACCAATCAGCACAGCCAGAATCTTCCGACCCTTCAAAGGGACGGCTTGATTCGTCTTCCTCTTCTGTTTTTTTTTTTTTTTGTTGGGGAAGACGAATTCGGTTTTGCAGGTGACGACTTCCTTGACCAGGTGACGTTTCCACGATACAGGCCCGCTGACGTCTCCAGGCAAACACTGGTATCCACGCAGCCACGCACACCTTGCAGCACTGCCGTCTCCCTTGTGCCGGGAGCAGCAGGTAGGCAGTTGGCAGACAGGCAGCAATTACTGCGCCGTCGCGCCGCCGTCTTGCTTACCCGCCGACTCGATGCGCCCCAGCGCCTTGACCAGGATCTGGCCTGCATGCACATTAACGTCGGCGAGCGCCACCTCGAAGCGATCCGCAACCTTGACGTCCTTGATAAGCGCGCGGCCGTCCAATCCGTCGGCGTCCATGATGGCGTCGAGACCAAACAGGTCCAGGTGGCCGAGGAGGCCCTCGCGCAGCTGCATGTCCACTGTGAAGACGATTTTCTCCGGCAGATTGCCGTCGTGCTGCCACGCGCGCGCCACCGCCATGAGTATCCAGTCTGACGCGCCGCGACTGACGGCACGGCCCAGCTTCTCGCGCAGCTGCAGCAGCGGTAGCGCTTCGGCGAGCTGCGCCTGCGAAAACGCCATCTTCGCGTCCACGTCGTCGCTGTCGCGCGCGGGGTCCAGCTGCCCGCCTTTCGCCCGCTCGTGCGCCAGCGCCGCGTGCACCTGCCAGTGCACTATCAGATCGCCGAACCGTCGCAGCGGCGACGTCGCCTTGGCGTACATGTCCAGACCTAGCAAAAAGTACGGTCCCGGCTGCGCCGCGAGCTCGATCCCGCCCGTCAGCCGGCTCAGCTCCGCTCGTTGCGACATGGTCGGCTCGATGCCCTTGGCGATGAGCGGATAAAGCTCGCCCCGCGCGTATGCCAGCGCCTCCTGCTCTCGCACGCCCATGTTGGCGTCTCGGCGATATGGCACGCTAATCTGGCGCTCTGCGCACCACCGTGCCGCGATTTCGCCAGCGAGCACCATGGAATTGCTCACCAGAGCCGATCCGTTACTCGACTCCATACCGACGTGGATATAGGGATCAGCTGGAATGGCGATTTCGTCGGCGCCGGCAGTCGGCTGAGTTACGTCAAACTGCACAGTAACGGCAGGTCGCGGGAAAAAGTACGGCCATGCTCCCTTTTCAAGTCGTTTATCCTTGATTGCCTTGGTGAGCTCGTAAAGTAATAGCACGTCCTCCTGTTGCGCTTGATCCAGATCTTTCGCAAGTACCATTTTTCGTTCGGGTTCATAACCGGATTCTCCTCGCTTTTGTCCTACTGCGAGCTCTGTACCACGCGCAAGTTTCGGCTGTGGCTCCAGACAGAATCGCGATACATCTTCGGGCCCCATGTAGATCACATTGCGCAGCGTGCTTGGCTTAATCTTGTAGTCAAGCACATCGCCACGACGATTCACCTTGGCGCTAAAGGTAAGCGCCGGACAGTCTTTCTGCAAAGAATACTGCTCGATGAGGCTTTTTGACGCGTAGTCACCGTCATTGCCACCGAGCTCGGCCGGTAACATGGCTTGAAAGTGGCCGGCAAGGTAAATGTTATCCGGAATAAGTTCCATGTACTTGCAGAGTTCAGAATTTGGCTCGATACCAGACGCCGGGTCTGCTGCGTGTACGTGAATCCAGAACTCGTCCTTCTTCTCAGTCCTTTCCACCGATATGCCATCGTCAATGACCCTTGTGCTCGCAGCGTCGATGCAAAAAACTGGAGAGCAAACATCCTGACGGGCGTCGGCGGCAATATCGGTTCTTCTAGACACCTCAATGCTCGGCTCCTGACGCTTCAACCCTGCACCCGGCACGATCTCGGTATCGGGAAATCGAACTTTGTAGCGAGACGGGACTTCCCACGGCATGATATGCCCAATCTCTTGCAGAAATGTCCACGCCGTTGTTTGGTTGAGAGGCATGTCGTCATACATTCCAATTGCCCTCAAAATCATGGCGCCATTTGAGTGCAGTCGCGCACTTGCTTCGAAGAGTCCATAGCTAGCCCATAACTCAAGGAATTGTATGACATCTTTGCTGATGGGCAGCCACTCGGGTTTGGGAATTGTGCCGCCATTGGATGGCTTGAGGATTCCGTATGGGGTGAATTCACGAATCTTGCGGCTATTCTTCACAGCAGTGCGGGCCTGCTTGATGAACTTGCCTAACCACGCATTTGCCAACTCGTCATTGCCTGGAATCCTGCTCCTGGCCATGGCAACGATATAATGCCGTGCCAGCAGATTTACCTTTTCCACAAGCTCAGTCTGATCTTGCGGGAAGATTTCGTACAGCTGGTCTCGCCTGTGAAGCGCACGAGAGGAGCTGATAGGCCGGAAACCAAACTCAACGCGCGTCAAGGCCAAATGTATGGCATACAGCGCTGCCGGCGAAACCTCTCCCTCTACTCGCATAGAATTGGGCAACAGCACATCGGCCATTTGAAACAGGCTCATGTATCGAAATCGGTGTCGGTAAGACAGCAATCTGTGCGCAGCGTCAAGATTAGCCAAGTTTCGCTGGTAAACACTCTCGGTCTCGGCCCGAAAAGCGTCCATCCTGTCAATCAAGACCTTGGCATCCTCTCGCGATGGCCCGCTTTCCTCCTCCTTCATCTTTTCAAAGTCTTCAAGAGTTGCGTCTGCGGATAGCTTGGATAAAATGGGTTCCAGCTCATGGGGCTTGGCAAAATTGGAAACGAGAAAGGGCGAGGAGAAGCCCCTGGACATATTCCAGGTACCATTAGAGGCGTAGAAGTGGTTTCTATCTCCATAGTAGCCGAGATAGATTGCCAAATGTGGCATGCGAGAGCCAGAACTTCCAAGCTCAACCATGTCTCCTGGTTTAGCTATATCAGTCCCCACAATCGAGTGCTCATCACGCTCAAGGTTGAATTCCATGGCCGAGCCAGTTTGTGACCCAGTTGGGCCGGCTTTCAAATTCGCCAGATTTGTAGCTTTCGAGGTTTGAGTGCGAGTTAAGGAATTGGTCATAGTAGCATACAAGTTGGAATCTGAGAACATCTTTGGCGTCTTTTGCCTGTCATTCTCCTGTGTCCAGTAATGCAGCCTCTCACGAACAGGCAATTTGGCAATAGCTTCTTGACCGGGGATGAAAGTAGATGGTATGTTTTCCTGTCCAAGAAGCTGCCCGCTTTGTTTGGCAGATTGCGTTGCAACCCATTTCTAGAGGAATGTCAGTATCATCATGTCTTGGGGGCTCGGCGCAAACCTACCCCTGAGCCTGTCACCAGATATGGCAGCTTTGGGGCTCTCGGTCGCCCTGGTGGGGACTGGGGTAGTTTACTACATGCCTGGCAGATAAATGGCCTACCAGATATGCGAAACATTTTGATTTGGTCAATAATGTTACCTCATGGTAGACGTGGACGGTGTAGCATGTCGTTAAAAATCTACCCATAAAATGTGATCACGTGACCGAGTGCATTCGCGTTTGCTGCGGCAGCTGCCAAGGGCGTCAACTTTCAATGGGAAGGTGAAAAAGTTAATCAATTTCGGACATTGGCTTTGAGGCGTCATTCATCATTATGTGCACACGGCATCAAGATTTTGCCATCTGACGGCCGTGCAACTTGCCTCCGGACTTTAGGCAAAGCACCGGGTAGGCTGCAGCCAAGGCATATCTTACAGCACAGTGAGAGTCTACCAGTACAACGGCTGACTGATTTCACAGGCACTGTGCAGATGTCGGGGTGAAGAAGGCAGATGAAGAAAATTTATACTCACATGGAGTTCTCTGGGCATCATGATCCCGGGCTCCTCAAGCAGTGGCTTTCTCGAGGAAGTGGGTGGCTAAAAAAGCGCCACTTTGGCTACGGGAGTACTTCCAACAGGATCATCAAGGACCGTCCAGCATACATTATCAACAAACTCAACTCAACTAATCAAGACCCTCACTGCGCAAGAGTAATCACAACACCATAAATCCACCTGTGCTACTCGTCACCTCGTCACCTAGCCACAACGTCGTCTAATTTCGTCTTCGCGTTACATGTCTAGGTGGGGCGCGCTCACGCAGGTACGGCGTTAGCACCTTATTACTGGTAATTTTCAATGCTGGCAATACTAACCTAGAACAATGCAACAAGTTTCTGTGGATAGTTACAAGCAGCTGGGTGAATTTCGTTGACAAGTCGCGATGTGACGGCTTGATGCCTTTGACGGTCTTTCAGAATAAGAATGCTTCGGTAACAGTCATATGGTAGCAGCCAGAGGCAGAACTCGAGAGCTGCGCTATTACCAGTTTGTTACTAAGACGGGGGGCATGAACAGCCAGTCCGCATAATTCGCCGTGCCAATCATAACCGGGACTAGTCTCTGGAGGTGTAAGCGCCGGAGAATAAAGCCATGACTCGGGTTGTCGGGCTCCAGCGACGACGATTTGAATATGCTACAAAGTCTGCGCTTGGTGTAAGTAGCCTTTCGCGGAGTCAGGGAAGAGATGATTTCGCAAGCACAGATACGAGAGACAGAGCACAAACAATTGTCAAGCAATGCGATTCGGGTTACGTGGAGACTCAGAGTCCGATACTGCAAAATCAGAGAATATCACCAGCCACATCGGGAGTCGATCGATGGCGCGTGGAGGAAAGCCAAGCTGTTATTACGGATAAATCCTGTTATTATTACTATCAGGGACAATTTTGCTTCGCATCTCAAATTGCTCGTCCCCTGAAGGCGACACCGCTACGAGCAAGCGACGAGGGAAATTATGGATGAAAATAGTGCATTGGAAACAAAGGCCGGTACTTGCAGGCAAGGCCCACTGCCAAATTAAAATAATAACCGGGGGAGCCCACAACAAGCAGCAGCACGATGGAGGTCCGGCGGATCGTTGCCGAATGGGGTAGAGCTGGCAGCAGCCGTTCCTGACTTTGCCTTGTTTGGGCACGCTAACAATTGTTTCTTGCCAAGCTTTTGGACGGACAAGCTAACCAGGGACGAAACTTGAAAGACAGGCGGTCGGTATAGAGTAGGGGGAATGAATGGTGTTGTGGCTGACACGGTCAGAGGCAAAACAGAGAGGCGAAATGCTGAAAAGGGAGCTCGACAACAAACAGGACGGAAAGGCAGTTCGCTGCCGCGTGATACAAATACAGAATCGACGGATATACGAAATGTGTGGAAAGTGGGAAAAGGGGACAAGAGCGCGATCCATCTCATTTCCCCAAGCAAATTCGGCCTCCGCTGACAGCCAGCCATTCATTTCGCAGAGTTGCAGCAGCGCAATCTGCAGCGACGGCGAAGAGCAGGCCAGAAGGACAATGGCTGAATGATGAATGGGCGGACAAAACCCCCTTTTAAGAGGTGGCAGGCAATGGCAAATTAGCACATGGCCAGGTCCGGAGGTCTCCCCCCTGATTGGAGTCGTTTTCTTTTTCTTCCCGAACGACCAAAAGCCTTGGCCAGCCAGCACAGGAAGACCTGCCTGATCCTGACGCCCCATGTCAAGCCAAGCCATGTCTTTGTTTCTGGCAGAGGCCACTGGTTAGCAGATTCCAAGTGGAACCGAGGCGCAAGACCAAGCAAGGATTCGTCTGTTGCACCAGTGGCAGTACCACCAAGACCACCAAGCCAAGCACAAGACACAAGACACATCCAGCTTCGTGAACCACAAACCGCAACCCCCTGCTTGGGCTGGGCCGCTAGCTGCTGGCAAATCATTTACTGCAATGGGCCGCTGCCGCTCTTGTCCAGAAAATAACAATAATAATAGTTGCCCACCTGCCGCCTCTGTTTTGTTTCTCTCTCCCCTCTTCTCTTCACGAACCATCGACACATTCCAGACTTCGTAACTGAAAGCTCGCTCTTTGCAGCCCTTTCGTCCTTTCGTTTTATTTCCCTTCTCCTATACCGCTCCACTCCTTTAGCGGCCATTCTCTTTTTCTTTTAACGACTCGAACCGGTTTCAAATCACAATGAGGACCACCTTCTTTGCCGCCACCGCGGCCATGGCTGGTGCCGCCACCGCCGCTGCCGCCAACCATCGTCACGCTCACCACATGTTCGCCAAGCGCGGCCACGCTGCCAGCACCGGTTTCCCCATTGCTGCCACTGGTGAGGTCTGCCTCCCTGGCTGCACCACCATCTGGAAGACCATTACCGGCGAGGCTACCCGTATGTTGAAATTCTGGCGCTGCTCTGCGGCCTTCAAACGCAAAAGTACAGGCGCAAACTAACACCCATCAGTCATCCCCAACAAGGTCACCACTGTGACCTCGACCTCGACCAACACGTCGACCGTCATCATCACCTCCGTCCCCACCGCCGTCTCGACTCCTGTCAAGACTGTCCCGACTGTCCCGACCACTACCGTCGTAGTCGTCCCTACTCCCGAGGTGCAGCGCTGCCCTACTCCCGGCACCTACACCTTCCCGGCCACGACCATGACCGTCACCGACACGACGACCGTCTGCGGCGCCACTACCACCAAGGTTCCCGCTGGCACGCACGCCATTGGCGGTGTCACGACTGTTGTCACCACCCTGACTACCGTCACTTGTCCCGTAGCAACCGTCGTGACCTCGGGCGGTGTCACCACCAGCACCATTCGCATGACCGAGTACGTCTGCCCTACCGCTGGCACTTACACCATTGGTGCGCACACCACCGCCCTTTCGACCGAGACCGTCATTGTCTACCCCACGCCTACCATCATTGTTCCCGGTACCTACACCAAGCCCCAGATTGTCGTGACCGCCACTGAGACCAACTACGTCACCGTCTGCCCTTACACCAGCTCCGGCCTTCCTACCAGCACTCCTACTCCTTCTCCCGTGAGCACGTCTGCCCCTACTCCTGCTCCTACCAGCAGCACCGCTACTCCTAGCCCCGTTGCTCCCTCCTCGACCGCTTCTAGCTCTGCTGCCCCCAGCTCCTCTGCTGCTCCCAGCTCCTCCTCTGCTGCTCCCAGCTCCTCTGCTCCCGCCATCCCTGGCAACAGCAAGACCGAGGTCAAGGGCACCAATGACCACTTTGCCATCACCTACGGCCCGTACGACAGCAGCTCTGGTGCCTGCAAGTCCGCCAGCCAGGTCAAGAAGGACATTTCCGAGATCAAGGCCGCTGGCTTCCAGGCCGTCCGCATCTACGGCACCGACTGCGATACTCTTGTCAACGTTGTCCCTGCCTGTGTCTCCCACGGCCTCCAGATTATTGCCGGTGTCTTTGTCAGGCCCGGTGGCCAGTGCTCCATTGAGAACCCCGAGGTCAAGAAGCAGGTTGACGACCTCGTCGCCATGAACAACTGGGAAGCCATTCGTCTGCTCGTCGTTGGCAATGAGGCCATCATGAACCACGTCTGCAACGCTAGCCAGCTCGCCAAGCTTATCGTCGACGTCAAGGCCCAGTGCTCCGGCTTCCAGGGCCCCGTCACCATTGCCGAGACGCTCAACATTTGGCAGCAGACTGACGTGTCTTCGGCCATTTGCCCTCTCGTCGACGTTGTCGGTGCCAACATCCACGCCTTCTTCAACCCCAACGTCGATGCCGCCGGCGCCGGCATCTTTGTCAAGGGCCAGATGGACATTCTGCAGGGCATTTGCAACAAGAACGTCATCAACCTCGAGACAGGCTGGAAGAACGAGGGCCCTTGCAACGGCAAGGCCTGCCCCGGTGCCCAGGACCAGGCCAAGGCCATCAGCTCCATCCGTAAGACGTGCGGTGACGCCTCCGTCTTCTTCTCCTTTGACAATGAGGGCTGGAAGCCCCAGGACGACCAGCGCTGGGGTCTCACCAACATCTTCTTTTCCCAGTAAATAAACAAGAGAAGGAAACCAGTTTCTAACCCCCCCAAGCACATATGACATGTCTGCTACGTCCCTCCAGAGCCCCTTGTTTATAAAGAGCCAAGCAGCCTGCACATTTAATTTTCTGGTTACTTTTTTTTTTTTTTTTTGCTGCTAAAAGTTGTATAATGGGGGAAAAGCCTCGTCAAGATTACATACATTTAAAGCTTTTTTCTTTCTTCCAATTTGTTTCCGTGCCGTTTTCCAATCTCGTTGATTTCCTTGACGACAATAAAAAGTGCGCATGTAAACTCAGGTTCGGCCCCTTGGTTCTCAGAAGCCTTGTCGAATTGTATTCTCGAATCTTGATGGCATATTCTCCGTACTTATTGGCTGGCCATTCCCGTTGGCCAATTCAATCAATCTTGAGCCTCTTGTTTTCATACTAGTACGGCTATTATACACCCAAACTACAAACAAGCTCACAACAGACAGCTATTTACTTCGTACACCACTGTCCAAAAACACAAGTCAGATTACTATGCATCTGCTGCGCCACAACACTTGAATCGAGATCTTTTTCAAGTGAAAAAAAAAAAAAAAAAAGAAAAAAAACCGAGGTACCAGTCAGGCTGGCCATGTATATTTCATTGAGATTTATCCAAGAACATTCTCCACACGGTTTTCCTCCAACTTAGCTTCTGTTTCTCCTCCTCTACAGACAGGAAAACTGCGCTCGCCACCCGACTTCCGTCTTGATGCAACTAGGAATCTAAATGACTTGAAACAAAGAGAAGGAGGAGACAAAAGGAAAACGGTCCACAATCAACTGTGACAAGAACTCAGTATATCAAAATCACATGATAATCGCTCCCATCAAATGCTGTGAAAAGAATAGTAAAACACAACCCTCGCGAAAAACTCTCGTTCAAGTCGTGGATAGACAAAAGGAGGATAGGGGAGGAAGTCAAGGGTAAACGCCGGGGTAGATGCAAAAAAGCCGGTATACATTATCCTATACGGCGTCATTCAAGGGTATAGGGTGGTCATGGGTTGGTAATAGGCGAAAGTTGAATGTGAAGTTAAAAAAATGTAGGAATTTTGTCCATGGCGGGTGTAATGTCCGTGTCTGGGAGCCAAGAGTGGCGATTTGCCATTGAGTCTTCATCGTAGCTACGCATAAAATTGCGTCGGCCACGGCAGCGTTGTAGCTGCAAGAGGCCACCACGCTGCGAGTCGCAGCAAAGCACGTTGAGATCCTGGCCGTCATTGGCAAAGGCTATGCCGCCAATTTCGCCAAAGACGTCAATCTCTTGCCTGTAGTGGAACATCTTGGCGTCGATAATGTTGACAAAATCAGCCTCCTCAGCAGCAACCAGCACAGGCGGGCCACTGCCAAGGGGAGAGAAGCGCAAGCTACGAGCGCCCGCCATCTCTGTGCGTATTGTACACAGCGGTGTCGATTGCCCGCTCGTGTTGCACCAGCGCCTGGCATCCCAAATCTTGACAGCCATGTCTTGAAAGCCCGTGGCAACGGTCCAACCGTCATCGGACCAGTCGCAGGCGAAGCCGTAGTCGCGGTGGCCGCCAAGTTCCTGCAACACTTCGCCCGTGTCGGCATTGGTAATGAGAACATTGAAGTGATCGCCTACCACGGTCCGCAGTCGTCGGTCCGGAGATACAGCTGTGCAGTTAAGAGCAAACGGGTACCTCTTCTCTTGTACAATCGTTTGCGTTTCCAAGTCCAGCAGTCGAAAACCATGATCGTTACTCGCTATGGCAGCCGCAGGTCCGCAAGAACGCCGGGGTTTGTGAATTTTAATATGATTGGTGATTCCGCCGGGATCCGATGTAATTTGACCCTCGGTGTAAGCGTGCTTTTCAGGCGCATCGAGTCTCTTGATGCAATACTCGCCATTGAACGTTCCGCACATGAGAACGCCGCAATCGGCATCCACAGTCGAGATGACGGCCCCGGCTGCCGGGAAGTCGCGCGTGTTCATGAACGTCTCAGACTTTCCAGATGCCAGATTCATACGTGCGATACCCTGAGGTGTGGGATAGTAGGCGTGTGTGCGGGTTGGGCAGGCGAGAACACTGCGAAGCTGAAAGTGGGCGAGGCAGACGTCTCTGCGAATGTGCATTCTATTGAATCGGTAAAAACTCTCACGAGAGGATAGGGGTTGGTGAGGCGTCTGCAGACAAAACTGATTAGAATCAAGTCTTAAGGGGAAGGCGGGGATACTTGCCATCCATCTATCTGAGCCCATTCTGTTTACATAATTTCTGTAGGTATGTTGCCGTCGCAATCTTGCAGCCTTGCGTGTAGTTTTCATGGCGGCCCAATTGAAACCCTGCAAATCATACTGGTCGCCTTCGAGTTGGGCAAAGCTGATCTCGTCAGGCTGCTCTTGCGTTTGGCGCATCAGCTCATCGAGCAAAGGGGGTTGCGATCGCCCAGCGCGGCCATAGCGGCCCTGGTAGGCCCAGTCACGCAAGAAGTCGACCAAGTCGAGGTTCTCAGATCCGAGTATAGCCGGGATCGCATCGCTAATGGTCAAGTTTTGGTCGGCGAGGAAGGCTGGCAGAGGGACCCAGTTGGGAGGCGGCTGGTGAAGCGGCGGCAAGTTGGCTAGGTCGGTAGGACCAGCAGGCATGCCAAATGTGATGGGTTGAACCGGCATTTGTGGCTGATGGACAGGCATATTGGGAGGGGTGTTTTGGAAGAAGGAAGCACTGCCTGGATAATGGGGGAACATAGGTGCGGGTGCGATGGGGGCCATCGGTTCTAAGGAACTTGGCTGATGCTGCATGTGTTGCATGTAATGATCGCTATCGTCGTCGTCATCGTCATCGTCGTATTCTTCATGATAGGCATCGGATAGGTAGTCAAGATCTGGCTCGGGTGTGGGCATGACGTTGGTAGGTTGGGGGGGGCGGACTGGGGCCATCAACGCCAGCGCAGCACCACCAGAGTCGACTTCGGGGTCAGAATCTTGTCCGTCGCTGTCGGGTATGTCCATGTCTGACTGGCCATCGTTTCTGGACTGCGAGGGTGGTAGTGTAGACTGTGAATGGTGGCTGGCAGAAGGCGCGTTAGGCCCCTCAACGGCGCTAGATGACATGCGGACGGCGCTGTTGGCGGGGGAAGAGGCGTCAGCAAGGTGAGAGGGCAAGTGAGATCGAGCAGGCTGGCACCACGAAACCGAGTCGGAAGTGCTGTTGTCAGAGTCGGAGTCGGAGTCATGTGTTTGGCGACTTAGTAGGCGGGAACGTCGGCGAGAAAGTTGGCCATTGTCTTGCTGAGGGTCGTCGGGCGGCACTCGAGTCGTATGCGATGACGAAGTTCGCATGGCCAGAGAGCGAGCAAGACTCTTAGGTCATGCGGTAGGGCGAATAGCTGGGGTTGATTGTCGATTGGTACGCTTAAGGTCGACATACGCGAGAAGATGGCCGTACCGCTAATGAATGATGTAAGATATAGCAGGTGCAAGGTCAACGACCAGTGGGACTATGGTTGTGTCAAGGATTCGATGGCGTGCGGACCATGGCTTGTTGCTGGACGAATAGTGACGGCGTTGCCCTAATAATCAAGGAGAGGAAAAATGATGTTGGCGTGAGGCGGGCAGGGCTTCTTTTTGCGTGTATCTGAAAGGTCTGTAGGAGACTGAGTGAAAGTGTGTGGAAGAGTCGTATCTGTGTCAAAGTGTGTGCGTGGTGAAAAGGTGGCGTGGTGGCAAGGATGGTGAGAGGACAAGCAATGTCGAGGTCCAGAAAGCGAGGGGAATCGCGAGAGGGAGGTAGGTGGAGGAGGGAGGGAGGGGTGAAGGTTGGAGGCTACTGGGGTGAAGGTTGGAGGCTACTGGACGTTGGCGGCATCGGCAGTGGCAGTGGCAGTGGCAGTGGCAAGCGAGCATGGCATGGAACATGATAATGGGAATATGGAAGCTACAAAAGCCACATAAAGCCACAACTTGGAGTTTGTTCTCTAGATACAACGCAGGTGCTGGCAGAAGTGGCCTAGAAATGGCCTGGAAGTGGCCCATTCGTGAAGGTGCTGAGAGAGAGGCGCATTGGGGGCCCTGGGGCTTCAGCATGAGGGGTGGGGGGGTGTCGGCAAAGAAAGCAAAGGTCCGTCAAAGCAGCTCTGATGAGGTAGCACGTAAATTGATCTCTGGTAAATCTGTCAGCGCCAGCCAAAATTAGTAGCTTAAGGTTAGTAATGATTGACTAGGCAGCTGCCTTTGCAGCTCTCGGTGTATCTCATAAATTGCTGATTTGCATCGTGACCTAGGTACCGGCCTTGCTGGTTGCCCCATTAGGTACCTTAGGCGCAACCTGCACCTAATTTACAAGCTGCTGGCGCAATGCCGTTTGCCTGTTTGCCCGTTTGCCCGTCTGTCCGTCCGCCTTGCATCAACCAGCCAGCTTACCAACGCTACCTACCTCACCGCTCAACCAGGCATCTCAGATTCACCCACGGAGTAGTAACCCCCCGAAAAGACCTAAAAAGGCCAAGCCAAAGACTTGGCCCGAGTTCTGACATATCGTCTTGACGAGGCAAGTATTCTACTTACCTACCCATACATTGCAACCGACTGATGGACCAGCTTTGCACCAATACCAATGGCCCTTATCCGTCAGACAAACGGTCCTTACAGTTGTCGTGATAAGCAATGCACGATCTACACAGGTGCCGATTCGACACTTTCCACCTGTTCTGCCGACTTGTTACCGAGTTCAAATATTCCGTACCGAGTAATTAGGCACAGCTAATCCATTCCATTCGAGACATCAAAGCACCAACCAGCAGCCCTGGCACGCCATCTGAACGCACGACGTTGCCGCTCATGCCCACCAGTTCTACTAGTAGAAATCTACCTTGGCAGCGTCTGCATTTAGTTTTTCCAGCTGTCAGATACCACCCCGACCTCCTGGCCTCGGCTTTTCTTTGCATGTGAAGCAAACCCCAATGGGCGGGCTGAAAAGTTGATGCGTGCGTGCCTTTGTGATCTGGCATGCCCAAGTCTCATCAAATACTGTGAATCCCTCGGAACACCGCGGTCTGGTCTCTCACCACACAGGCTGGAGCCAAGTGCTGCGGCGGGCCTTTGACAATGGCCCGTCGACGTTTCTTTCATTGCTGCTCGGCTTCAGGTTGCGAGAAAAAAGGACCCCCTTTTGTCTGTCTGAGACGCCATCAATCAATAAACTATGAGGTCCATGCAAGAAATGAGACTTGCGTGCAGCTGCCACTAATACAAGCCCTTTGGCCCGCGCCTTATGCACCTTCACAGGAAGCTATGTACATGACGCTACGTCAGCCACTATTCTACCACGGACGAGACTGCATGACCATATGAAGTACAAGCACTGTGCTCCACGTCGCACACGGGAAGCAAAAGGACGTCGCCAGCATATTCGGGTTCATGACGGACCGGCGACGGCCGCGGGCACTTTCTGCACTCAAATGGCAACTAGCAATCAGAAACTGCTCGCGTGCTGCCAAGCCGTGTTACAGGTCGTTTCCTTGTTTCCTTCGCCTCTAATAATAAAAAAATGCGGATGCGCCAGAGCCGCCCGCAAAGAAACACCTCAAAACTTACACATCATATTGCCAGGCGGGCCCTCTACCGACGACGTCTCTCATTTCTGACAGGTCCCATGATCCTTATTGTCTTCCAGTTCAGTGGCGCTTCGCCTGTGGGGAGGGTGTACTCAGTGAGTGGACTGGCAGACGCTGTCAAGGCCTAGAGTCTGAGCTACAAGCTTCGTCCAGCATGTTCTGCAGGCTCGTGTAATCTATCGGTAAATAGCCTGAGAGGCATTGTGCGAACGTGGCCTGCCTACCATGTTGGATGGGCTGACTCACTGCTTCCAGAGACAATCGCACGCAAAATCGCACACAACTAACAAATCAATGGCCCGTATCTTGGCTCATACTTTTACCCCTGGTCGGCGTTATCTCGATCAACTGGAAATTATGCATACACACTTGCGACGTGCCGTTCCTTTCTCCGCGTCCCCCGCGCCAGATGAAAGGTGCTCACCTCCGACAAACTGGGCCTTGTCCAGGCGTCGAGGTGTCATTTGGGGAGCAGTGTATGAGTTTAGGCCCTTGGTGAATCAGTTGTCGTCGTGTCCGCCAGCAGCTCAATGGGAACGTGGTATGAACCGTCGGTGACCACTTTGTACGACGTAATAGTCGGACCGGCAAGATTCAGATGAGCTGGGCTAGATCGTCAGGCCTGGCGCAAGACGACCCCAGAACAGCCTCTCTTTCTTTTTTTTTTTTTGGGAGGAGGGGGGGAGCAGCTCAAATCGAAGTCATTCACCCATCCCACAATCATATGTACGTCGAAAGATATGGAGCTTGGGATTGGCAAAGCTAGGTTTTTACGCTGCTTTGTTGAGAAAGTACGAATCTGGGCCCAAAACTCTGCGCTGGATTGCTGTCTGATGTGGAGAGCACTACAGCTATTACGGAGTACAAAGCCGTGGGCGCCACAGAATGTCTCGCCGTGGTATTTTATGATAGATGATCTCTCCGCGCCCCGTGTCTGCACGCCCCCCGGGGTCGCGGCCCACCAGCCGGGGGGGATGCGATTCGCGCTCCGAGGTCCAAGGATGAAAGAACGCTATTCGTAATTGTTGAATTTAGAGGGGCGCGCTGGCAACATGCCAGAAATGGCGTGGTTAAGCGAATCGAAAAAGTCAAGATGAGATTTGACCACGCAAGCCAGCAAGCAGGGTCTTGCACCCGCTCTCGTCGCATCTCAGAGAGCACCGCGGTGGCGAATGTCCCCTCGGCCGACTCCTCACATCTCATGTGTGACAAGACAACGCTTTCTCTATGATTGTTCGTCCCGAGGACCATAAACTAGAGGAGCCAAGATGGAAACAGCGGCAGGGCTACTGCTATGTGATTTCTCGGCATCACAACGCAGCGAGAGTGGAAGCAGTCCGGCGCTGTGCAGCTTGCAAGGCACCCTTGACCCCAAACAAACATTGCAACTTGACAAGTCTGTACAGATTACGGGAGGTAACAGCTTGGAGCGTTACGCACAGGTAGCGTGGTGATGTGACACATCATCGTTGTGCAGCGCGTTTGGCCAGCCCTTTATCGCCATCCGCTTTGCTCAGGTTGTACGGCCAGCCACTGGGACGTCGGACGACTTTTTTCGCGGCAGTCACCGTGATCGGTGGCCATTTTGCACCTCGGTCTACCAGTACGTACGGAGTACAGAGTATATATCTTATCCATGATGTACGTGTTATGCTGATAAGTATGCAGGTGTGTGCAACGAGCCACTCTCCCATAAACAAGCAGGCAGCACATTCACAAGCCGTCATGTCTATGCACATTCTGTACATTTGCTGGGGAAAAGAATCGTCCTTTTCGCTCCGTGTCTCGTCCTTCTTGTCACTTTCCAAGAACAAACGAGTCGCGATCAAGTTTCAACGGTGTTGCAGCCGGATACCGGCTCTCGCTCAAACCCCATTTGGTACTACCGGTGTCGTACCACGTACGTACCTACCTGTGTAACTACAGCGCTCGAGCTCGTCCAGTGTTGGACGGCGCACTGTGCACAGTGCACACCCAGTTCCCACCAACGCACCTAGACACACACCTCGCACCCACTGTGATACCCAAAGTGCTTGCGCCACCCGCGCCACGCCCCTCTCCTGCAGCGCTCCTCCTCTCCTCCTCCTCCTCCTCCTCCGTGAGATCGAATTCTCACAAGCGGATACTAGTTTCCTTGCCTGGGTGTCAAAGTACAGTAGATGGGCAAATGGGCTTTTTGATAATAAAGTCGGATTCGGGTCCTCTGACCAATCATTACAGCTGATGCCAAACGAGCACTAGCACAAGCTCTCTTGCCCACCCAACACCCAGCCGAGCCATCGCCGGAGCTCTCATTGACAAGGCCCGGGAGGAGTTGCTTCTAATTGCGCTAATAAGGAGAGATCCTCCCCGCAAAGATTTTCCCCCGTCAAAACTCGCGCCCAGGACATGAACGCCGCCGGTTGGTTTCTCGATATCAAGAGAGCATACGGATACTTCGTACGGATACTGTGCCGCGCACACACCAGTGGCCAGCTCCTTGATAAATCCCTACCTACCAGCCCGTTCTGAGACATGGCGCACACTAACACCCAAGATCGCCATATTTGTTGGCAATCAAAGACATCGACGCCCTCCTTGCTGTCCCTTTCTTTCCCTTTTTTTTTTTTTGTGATAAATTTGCAACAAGAGAGCGGCACGCAAACGGTGGGCTGGCAGACTAATACCCGTTTGGGCATCCACGACCGTTGCAGCCCGATGTCTTGCCATGTTAAACGCTTTTTTTTGTTCCCCCCCGTCTTTGCCCGATATCCCGTGGCGTCGAATGGTCTGGTTTTGCATAATATGGCTTTCTTTCACGTGGCCAAAATTCATGTATTACTAAATTGTCTTGGGTAACAGATGCAACCCGTTTGCCATGTCCCAAACGGGATTGCATCCCGCCAGTCTTGAACGGAGCTCCAATTGTAGAAATCGATAATTGTAGAAATCAACGAGAAGAAAGAGCTTTCGTTCTGTGTTCTCTCATTGTATCCGCACCGAATCTTGCTATTCATATTCGAAAAGAAAAGAGCAGAAAAAGGTCGTCGTGATGCATATATATATTGTTTTCTCTCCTCTTGTAATCAGCCTTGCTCGTCACTACTCCATACATGCTAAATTGTCCTGCCCACCACCCTTTTTTCTCATGCAAGAAGAAAAAAAAACAAAAAAAAAGGTCGTAAATATCACCCACATCTCCCTCTATACGCAACGTCTTGTTCCCCGTCTATCCAACCCTCCTCAGAATTTGTTGACGCGTCTCCTCTCTTCCTTGAGCTTAATCAGTTGATCCAGCGCTTCCTGGAGGGGAACCAGCTCGCCCTTGCTCTGCGTAGCCTGGTCGTCGCGGTTGCGAATGTTGACGGTGCGCGACTTTTCCTCTTCGGCGCCGACGACTATGGGGAAAAATTCAATCATTAGTATATTTTGGTAAAAAGAAACCCCCTTGAAATCAAACGGTGATACGGAGAAGAGAAGAGAAAGGAAAATGTCTTACCAAAGATAAAGTTGTACTGCTCGAGCTGGCCGGTACGAATCTTTTTCTGAAACGTGTTGCCGCTGAGGTCAACGTCCACGTAGAGGCCCTGCTTCTTGAAGATGGACTGAACCTCGACGGCGTAGTCGTTGACGGCGGGCATAATGGGCACGACGAGTACCTGGCGCGGGGACAGCCAAAACGGCCACTTGCCGGCAAAGTGCTCAGTGAGAATGGCAAACATGCGCTCGACGGAGCCGAGGACGGCGCGGTGCACCATGACGGGGCGGGCGTAGCCGGCGGGCAGGTCGGGCTCGGCGTCGCCGCCGCCGGGCGCGTCCTCGTCCTTGCCGGCGACGTAACGCAGCTTGAACCGCTTGGGCAGGTTGAAATCGAGCTGGATAGTGCCGCACTGGAACTCGCGGCGCAGGGCATCGTACACAGTAATGTCAATCTTGGGCCCGTAGAAGGCACCGTCGCCGGGGTTGAGCTCCCACTTGGAGCCGATCTTGGTGGTAAAGGCGTTGAGGGCCTCGGTGAGCTTGGCCTCGGCCATGTCCCAGACGGCGACGTCGCCAATGTACTTTTCGGGCCGCGTGGAGAGCTTCAGCTTGTACTCGAAGCCAAACAGGCTGTAGATGGAGTCGAGAAAGTCAAAGCAACCGACAATCTCGTCGCGGATCTGGGCGACGGTGCAGAAGATGTGCGCGTCGTCCTGCTGGAAGCGGCGCACGCGCGTGAGGCCCGACAGGGCGCCCGAGAACTCGTTGCGGTGCAGCACGCCAAAGTCGGCCATGCGCCACGGTAGGTCCTTGTAGTTGACGTCGGCGTGGCTGAAAATCTTGCAGTGACCCGGACAGTTCATCGGCTTCATACCGTACTGCTCCTTTTCCACCTCAAACGTGAACATGTTCTCCGCGTAATGGCCCCAATGGCCCGACGTCTTCCACAGCTCCGACTTGTACACATTGGGCGTCATGACCTCCTGAAACTCGCGCTTGCGGTACTCGGCCTTGATCACGTCCATGAGCGTGTTGTAGATGCGCGCGCCGTGCGGCAGGAAAAAGGTCGAGCCGGGTGAGACCTCGTCGAAGAAGAAAAGCTTCTGGTCCGTGCCAATCTTGCGGTGATTGCGCTTAGCCGCCTCAGCCAGAAATGTCTTGTGCTCCTCGAGCGCCTTCTTGTCGGGGAACGAGACGCCGGCGATGCGCTGCACCGACTCATTCTTGGAGTCGCCCAGCCAGTATGCGGCGGAGCTCTGCACGTGGTCAGTATAGATCGCTCGAGGAAAGTGACGCGTATTGGACATACTCGGAGAACGGCAAAGGCCTTGATGTTGCCAGTGTTGGGCACGTGAGGACCGCGGCACAGATCAATCAGGGGACCACAGCGGTAGACGGTGGACTTTGTGCCGTCGGGCACGCGCTGCTGGATAAAGTATTCCTTGTACTTGCTGTACTTGAACATCTCGAGTAGTTCGTCCTTGGTCATTTCTAGGCGCTCAAACGGCTGCTTCTCTTTGATGATGGACGACGAAAGGGTCTCGAGCGCCTTCTTGTCGTCGTCGCCGACAACCTGGCTGCACTATTGTCAGCATTCACCACGTCGAGTCATCGAGTCACACGACTAAAAAAGTCCCCACGCACCCTTCCATGTTGGCCATGTCGTAGTAGAAACCGGGAGGGTTCTCGGTGGGAGGCCCGTTGCAGAGGTAGCAGCCGAAGCGGCGCTCGCAGGCCTCGCCCAGGATATGGGCAGACGAGTGCCAAAAGACCTTTTTGCCTAGGACGCGTGTAAGCATGGGCTGGTATCCTTCTTTTCGGGGAATAGGCGTCGCGTACCCTCGGTGTGATCGAAATCAAGCAGCTCCAGCTTGCAGCTCTTTTCCAGCGGGCGGGTGAGATCCCACAACTCGCCGTCGACCTGGGCAATAACGGTGCGCTCGACCAGGCTCTTGGAGATGCCCTTGGCGATGGCCAGCGGGGTCGTCTCCCATGAAGTGCCCTTGGTCTCGTTTCCATTGGGCATGGTGACGGTAATTTCTTCACGCGGCTTGGCTGTGATATCCATGTCAGTCGCATCCCTCCCCTCTGTGCGTCACGGATCGGCCGCATACCAGCAATCTCGGCATCCTGTCGGGCCTTGATCTTGTCGAAAAGATCGAGACGGAATTGGATAAACTCGGCAGGCTCGGGGCGCTGTCATACAATGTCAATTTTTCTTTACTTGTTTGATCCTCTTTTTTCCCCTTTCTTCGAGGCGCTTCTTCGTTTCGGCATTTGGGGTTACGTACCTCGAGGCCGGCATTCTTGTTGGGTTTGGGCACTTTTTCCTTCTTCTCCTTGGGCCGGGCGGCGAGCTCCTTGGGAGCGCCCTCGGCCACCTTGGCGGCATCAACCTTCTCGGACGACATGGCGGGCAGACGAGGACGGTGCGAGCGAGAGTCGGGGAGAAATAGCGGTGGGTGTGCTGTGGCAGGACAGAACGGTTGATTCTTGGAGGGGCAGACAACCCTTTTTTAGGAGGGGGGAAGCTGCGAGGGGTGGGGTAGTCGTGGTTTAGGAGTCACACGGTAGATCCTCGGGGACGGCGATGTTGATACAGAGAATTGTGTATTACTATTGACGCGGTATGTTTTGCATACCTGAAGTCGGCGGTATTGCTGTCATATTGGGGAAGAGTTGCATTGATTTGTTGCAATGGTTAGTTGTTGAGTCAGTATGCCGAATTCGGTGCATGCTGCATGTACCTAGAGATGACTCTGATCTGTGATAGTCACGTATGATTCAGCACAACATCGTAAAATAAATTGTTTCCCAATCAAGATATGGCCAGGAACATCAGAACGGATCTAGAGACCTAGGTAGTTAAGGACTCGCGTTATTTCAAAGTCGCCCGCCACGGAAAACGCTGACTATCATGTAAGCAGTGTCTGGTGTGACTACATCGCATTCTGTTCCTTTTAATGAGTCGGTTCTTTGATGAGTAACCATCTTAATGAGTAATTATACTTTGACGAAAAATGCATTCCGCCCTCGGATCTCTCTTGCATGTGTCGGGGTCAAGGCAGAAGACACCATCCACAATGTGATCATCAAAGCGCTGGTCAGTTTGGCGAAGCCAAGGCCAAGCAAGTAAACGATCCAAGAGACTATAACAGAAACAGCAGACACTTGCGCACATCATGTCAGTTAGCAGATTGGTCCTTAATGACTGTGCCCAATCCTAGGCCATCACAACAGATGCACTTTGAGTCCCAGATGCCGCTCTGTAAAAAATTATGTTCATTCATACAATGATGCTGTGCATCGGGTATCACACAAACGCCATAACCCTAACAAACCTACCCCTACTACAAATCCTTATATTCCATACCGCGTCACGCACTCCTCGCGATGCGTCTCCAAGCACTCGAGTGCGCACACCCTCGTCCCACACTTCAAGCACCTGACCCGTCCCCAGTATCCGCAGACCTCGCAAAACACCCTCACCGGATACGTCGCGGTCCAGTTCCCGCGCGCCTCGCCATAGCTGAGCGGGGGCGCCGCCAGCAGCCGTCTCATCTCGGCCTCGGTCGGCAGTGGCGGCACGCGGCTCATCAGCAGCGGGTCGACGTCGCCCGGGTGCGCGAGCGGCGGAGGCCGGTGCGGCGCGGCCAGCATCGTGGAGGGCTCGTTGTTGCTGCTGCTACTCCCCTCTCCTGCAGCATCAGGCATCGGTGAGTCGCCGCCTATCCCCGGCGTGGCGGACGACGCATCCTTGCTGCGCGAAGCAGCGGCGGCGGCGGCAGCGGCGCTGGACCGCTTGCTGACCGCCGCGGCGTTGGATTCCGTCAGCGCCTGCAGCGCGAGAAAGTCGTCGAGGTGGTTGGCAAACGTCTTTTGCGACTGCATAATTTTGCGCACATTGGCCGTGTGCTTTCGCTGAGCTGTTTTGACGCAATCATAGCCGTTAGCAAAGATAGGAAAAGGAAAAAGAACAAAGCTCTTGCTGAGGCTTGTGACGAGTTTCGGGGCGTCGGTGTACATACTCCGTCCGCTTTTGCCAGGAAGCGGAATCGTGGTGTCGCGCCCGCCGTCACGGTCCAGCGCCTCGAGCTCCTTGCGCATCTTGTTCTCCTGCCGTGCCGTGAGGTCGCTGAGGGTGAGCCCCCCGCCGGGGGCATTTCGTGCGCGTTTGCGGTTCGCCGTGGTGGTGGTGGTGGTGCCCGAGGTGGTGGCAGCGGCGAGGCGGGTGTCGGGGACGTACGCCCAGCCGGGGGCAGACGTCGTCTTGGCCCCGGCGAGCTCGATGACGCCGAAATCATTCATTTCTCCGTTTTCGTGTGTCTCAAATTTGCATGATGTTTCTAATGTTGCAAGTCGAGGGAGAGCTCATCATGTTCGCGTGGCCACCTAGTTAGGTGGTAGCGGCAGAAAAGAACGCCTCCAGTACCTAACTAAATAAATAGGTACCCAAGCGTGCTAAGGTGGTAGTAAGCAACCACAGTGGGGAGCTCGACTTGCCCAAGCCGAGACCATCCCAATCAAGTTCCGTTGCCACCTCCTCCAAACCCGCCGAAACATCCCTTCCAAGCTTCCCCGAATCCTTCTTCCCAACAGCAAACTACCCGCCAATACACGTCGCTATCGTGTCCAACAACTTTTTCCTCCCAATCGCACGTTCGACATCATGTATAGCGCCGCATCGAGAGTCCTGATGGGCCGCGCCGCCCGCGGCTTCCACACCACATCGCGCCGCATGACCGACGCTCCTCTGGTGGCCAAGAAGCCCATGGGCGCATTCCGGGGAGGGTACGTCTTGTTCCCCCGTCACGTACACGTCGTGCTGAATTAATGCTCAATTATCATCTACAGTATCTTTGGCTTCCTCCTCGGATCCACTCTTGCCGGCACCAGCGTCTATTCGTATCTCGTGCAAGAGTACAAGACCTCCAACGACTTGCTTACCGAGGATATTTACGTACGTCAGCTGTCACTCCAATGAATCGATTTCTTGAAACAATTGCTAACAGTTTTGTAGACACTGCAAGCTTCCGTCACCCGATTGACCAATTACGTCAAGAAAATTGAGCAAATAGCCCAGGAAAAGAAGAAATAAAGCACGCGCGATCGGGATAACACGGAAACGCAATGGGATGAGGCCATGCTACGGCAACAGTATCCAACTGAGAGAATTTGTCTTGATGAGATTGCGCCCCTGTACAACAATACCGACGAGAATCAATAAAGCGGAAACACCATGACAAAAATGACCAGCACAGTTTTGAGAAAGTGCAGTAATTTCAATTACATGATCTATTTTGATCCGAAATGTGTTGGACTCGCAGAAAACTATAAATCATTTGGTGCAGCTGTGGCAACCGTATAAAACAAAAAAAAACTCGTAAACATTCCCTTTTTATGATGCACTAATACATGACGTTTACAGCTCGTCGTGATCCTCCTCAACCTCCTCATCCTCCTCGACAGCCTTCTTCTCCTTGGAAGCGGCGGGAGCAGCCTCCTCGGTAGCGTCTTCCTTGAGGCTGACTGAGGCCTTGTGCTTGCCGTTCTTCTCAATGAACTCGACGAGGTCCTCGGGAGTGCGAGCGCCTTCGTAGGTAACGGGGTTCTTCTTGTCACCGGCGGGGTAGAGCTTGATAGTGGGGAAGCCCTGGATGTCATCCGGGACGTCATTGAGAGTAGCGTCGACCTTGGCAATGGTGACCTTGTCCTTGAAATCAGACTCCTGGAAGGCGGCGCCAAGCTGGTCGTACTTGGGAGCGAGGGCCTTGCAGTGACCGCACCAGGGGGCGTAGAACTCGATGAGGACATCCTTGTTGTTATCAAGTACGATATCGTCGTAGTTCTTGGCGACGACGACGGTGACGGGGCCGTCCTGGGACTCGGGGATGGGCTCCGACTTGATACTGGGCTCAATCTTGCCGGCAACGTAGTCGTCGACAAACTTGCCAATCGACTTTTCGGTAATCTTCTTTTCCTGATCAAAGGGGTACTTCTTGTTACCCTCAATGTCCTGGATGGCAAAGGCGGGGAACTTGTCGGACGCAAGGTTCAGGTTTCCGGCGTGGGCGCCGAAGGCCTTGGCATCAATGGTGCCAAAGTTGACCTTGCCCTTATGCTTCTCAGCGACAGGCTTGAGGGCCTTGGCGAGCTCGGTGCGCTCCTCCTCGGTCTCGGCGAAGATGTAGCACAGGGGGAGGCCGGCCGACATGTAGCCGGCGTAGGTCTCGGGGCCGATCTCGCCGATGAGGGGAGTGGCAGCGGTCTTGGTAAACTCCTCAATGGCATCGGCGTCGAACTTCTTGCCCTTGAAGATGGTCTTGCCCTCATCAAAGGATTTGTAGAGGACAACGGCGGGGGCGGTGACATCTTCAGCCTCGGCCAAATTGGCGTCGGCGACGGAGCCAAAGAGGTAGTCGTTACGGTACTTCTCAGCGACGGTCTGGAAGACGTCGGCAGAGGTCTTATCGTCCTCGGCAATGTATGCCACGACGACAACCTTGTCGGCCGTCTTGAAGTCCTCGAGGGTATCTTTTTCGAGGGTGGAAACGGCGGGGAGGGACTGCTTGACCATGTAGGATGTGATGGCAGCGGCCTTGCGCTGGCCACTGTAGGGGGCGACGTTGTCGGCTCCGCGGAAGACCTTGAGGGTGGGGTAGCCCTCGACACCGTGAGACTGGCAGAGCTCAGCCTCCTCGGTGCAGTCAATCTTGGCGAGCTTGATGTTCTTCTCCTTTAAAGAGGTAGCAGCCTCCTCATACTCGGGGGCGAGGGCCTTGCAGTGGCCACACCAGGGAGCAAAGACTGTGAGTGGCATTAGCTATGTGTTGACACGACAGGCGGGATTAAAGCGGAATAGATGGAGCTTACACTCGGCGAGGACCAAGTCGTTGGCCTTGACGAAGTCGTCAAAGGTCTTGCCGGTAAGCTGGGTCACATCAGACTCGTCGGCGGCGGTGACGAGGCTGGCAAAGGCAGCGAAGAGGCCGAGGCAAATGCGCTTGTGCTGCATCTTGCTGTGTGTAGTGTGATGTGGAATGGGGGTATAATAAGAAATGTACAAATGGGCGACACTGAATTTATTCCAGATGTTGCGTGAAGGAGACAGGAAAAGGGACTGGATGAATCTTGGGGATGATTGATGGGTAAAGTAATGGCCAGCGTGTGGAGGTTGGTAGTGTGGGGAACTGGACGAGACGTTCAATTGAACAAGTGTCCCTTTCCCATGGCGACGGCGCGAGAGGGGCTAAGCAAGCAAGTGAGCAACGAGCTGAGCTCACAGTGCAGCTTTGTGCAATGTACTGGTACCTGGACGTGCCATCCAGTCAGGGTAGCGGGGCCACCACCAACACACTCATGACACTGCACTCACTGCATTTACTGCACTGTGGGTTGTGGCTGCAGCGAGCTGGACGCCCTGTGGCACTTGGGACGTGATCCTGAAGGGTTGACAGCCGGCTGGCCAGACCAGACGAGCCCAGCCAATCACAAATGACCGAATCTTGCTCCGGCGGGGCCCGCTAGCAACTATCAAGTCCACTTGTCCCGGCCAGGCTGGTACAGGGGCAGCTTTCGCCACCAGCGACCACTGCCGCGCCCCGGAACGGATGGGCGGACAGGTACCTGACCAATCCCGTCGTGTCCGTGCCGTGCTGTACCAGCTCTCGCGGACCTCCACTGACAAATCCAATATGATGAAGAGCGATTCGCCTTGACAGTTTGTCAGGGAACTCCAAAGATAATAGAAATGTAACAAGCGCGGGTGGCGTTTTCTACTGATAGATTCCTCACATTTATCGCTTACCCCTTTTGCCACCCCAACGCGACTCGGTCTAAAACCACGACGTAGTAACGTAGGTACCTATTACAAAGCTTCCAGCACAAGGTCTCGGGCCTAGGCGGCGGCCCCCTGGACATCCCGCTCCCATAACCATCCGCGACAGCTGATTCACGCAGATCCGACCACTTCATCGCGCCAACAACGCCCAGTTGCGTGTGGATCCTAGACACGATTGGTTGCAGTCCCACCAAGGTTGAAGGAACCATCATGGGTGGCGTCTCGTTGTGGCCAGATATCTTGAACAAAAGCCGTAAATAGAAAGTACCGACTCGGGCAAAACATTCATCGCACGCCTGCGTCTGGCTTGGCAATGCTTCTTGACGCATGTTTATGGTGCATCTACATGGCTTACTACGCCTGACTTGCGGCCCATTCTGCCATGTTGCAACCGTGTCTTGTTTGCTTGAGTGAAAGCGACATTGGGGGCGGGACGGACAGCTTCAGCTCTCAGCCACATCATGCGCCAACTTACGTCGCATTCAACCATTCCCAAGTGACACGTACTTCGTACACCACTGCGAATTCGAAGAGCATGATTGACAATGCAGATCTATCGTTTCTAGTATCGTTTATAGGTTCTCTATTCTCTCCACATCGCTTCGCTCGATCTAGACATGTGTTCTTGCTGCACGCCACAAGCCCCATCCCTTTCAGGGTAGGCCTCCATCTTTCAGTATGCAGTAAACATCATACATCCCCTCAAAAGTGGCGCTCGAAGCTGGCCGGCGGCCCAGCGCGGTGATACTGGATCGGCCATTTGGCCTTGACCTTGAGCTCGTGCGCCGCGCGCAGCACCCACTCAGGCTCACGCAGAAACTGCCTACCCACAAGCGCAAAGTCGGCCGCCTGGTCCGCGCCTCCCTCCTGCACCAAGCTCGCCGCCGTCTGGCCCTCCGTGATGAAGCCGACGGTGCCGATGAGCAGCGGCGAGCCCTCGGCCGCGAGCGCTTCCCGCACCGCCTTGGCCAGATCCGACTGGAAGCGCTTGTTGTCGTGGGGGATCCGCTGTGCCGCCGAGTTGCCGCCGCTGCTGACGTCGAGCACGTCGACGCCCAACGCCGGAAGCTCTTTGGCCAGCCGGATCGTGCTCGCAAGGTCCCACGACGGCGCGCCGCCCGACTCCATCCACTCGGAGCCCGACACGCGCACCCACAGTGGCATCGTCTCGGGGATGACGCCGCGCACCGCGCCAATCACCTCCTTGAGCAGCCGCGTGCGGTTCTCGAAGCTGCCGCCGTAGTCGTCGGTGCGTGTCTGCAGAGGCAGTCAGAATACAGGCCAACGTCATAAAATTGCAGAGAGGAGAGCAAAAAAGAGGGGAAAACGTACGTTGCTTAGTGGCGACAGCGAGCTGCTCAGCAGGTAGCCGTGCGCCGCATGAATCTCAATGGTGTCAAAGCCCGCCGTGACGGCGCGCTTGGCCGTGTCGGCAAACGCCTGCACGAGACCTTTGATCTCGGCGATTGTCAGCTCCTTGGGCGCGGCGTGGTCGTCGGCAAACGGAATCGGGCTGAGAGACACGACATCGTCTGGCCAGCCGTTGGCAGCCTTGTCGGCAATGGTCTTGGTGGCGGTGCCGCCGAGCCAGGGCGCGAGCGTGCTTGCCTTGCGGCCGGCGTGCCCGATCTGGATGCCAATCTTCCCATTCTGGCTGTGCGCAAAGTCGACAATGCGCTTGAGCGGCGCAATCTGCGAGTCCTTCCACAGCCCGCTGTCCTCGGGGCTGATGCGGCCGCGCGGCTCGACGGCCGTCGCCTCGACAAAGACGAGCCCCGCGCCGTGCAGCGCCAGCTGGCCCAGGTGCACCAGGTGGTAGTCGGTTAGGTGTCCGTCGTCGGCGCTGTACTGACACATGGGCGACACAACGACACGGTTCTGCTGCTCCAGCCCTCGCACCTTGATCGGCTGCAGAAGCGAGGGCGGCGGCGAGCCGGCATCCTCGGCGGAGCCGATGGGCGGCTCTTGTGCGGGCGTGTAAAAGGGCACGCCGGGTGCGGCCTTGTTAATGGTACTGTGCGAGCCCATGGCCGGGATGGTGTGGATGTGATGTTGGCGTCGTAGAGGTGCGGGGTGAGGGAATCGTAGAGGATTGCAATTAAGACGGCGCAAAGTAGTACGAGTGGATGTCGTCTTCGACACTGCGAATGACGCTAATGAAGTATAGGGAAAGCAAGTCTGGAGTAGCTGCCGAGACACTAGTTCCATGGTGAAATTGTTTATTCAAAGGAAACTGACGGTGCCTTTATACCGTCTTGCGGCATTCGGGATGGAGGGGTGCAACTATTCTTACTTTGAGTGCTCAATGACGTGCCCGCGCCAATAGTCAAGTCTCAAGAAAGTCTAAAAGTCTGCCCATTGTCGCGGGGTTGAGATCGGGAAATTTTGCAGGTAGAAATTCGTGGTTGCTGAATAATGTTCCGATTAGAAACTCACACGGACGCTGCATTATCAATCCGCTGCTATGCGGCCCGACTCATTCGCAATCCGGGCCGAGTCCGGAATAGGTACTTGATTAGTAGTGTGATGCACACAAAAATAAAAGTACCTTTTCAAGCTGCTACCACAAAAATCATACTCAAAGTTCCTCAGATACTCTACACAAGTCGGACCGGATAGCAGCAGAATGGGTCGTTCCGCCCAAAGACTCGCGATCGGAATCGCTGGGCACCCTGGGGTCTGCACCTTGATGATCGACAGTGTATTTATCAGCAGGCGGGGCCAAGGTCAGGAAAAGCCCTTCACGTATAACAAGGCCTGATTTACATGAACTACCAGTAAGGCGCGCGCCTTTGCAGCGACATGAACAGTTAGCTGCAGAGGTGTTCTGATGGTACATCGAGGGAAATAAAAAAAAAGCATTGCAAAGCATCGCGAAAAAGGGCAGACGATGTAACTTTTCGTACATAAGGCGCGACG